AATGCTCTAGTATTTGCTGGATATGGGTGGTCGGGTATATATAAGAGGGGGAATAATGTGTGTATAGACAGTGAGTAATTGATCTGCGGTCAGAAGTATTATTGACGTTTGTTGTTATAGCGTTTGTTTAGCGCGATTGTTGAAGTTGAATGTATCGGTAAAGTTGTATTCGGAAAGAATAAACCAGTTTTATTAAGTAAAGAACTTGTGTCGCAAGTTTCGTCGGAACGAAGTTACGGAAAGTTAATTAACAAACGGAGACGTAACAAATACTTACTTGACTTCCATCAAGGTTGTGATTATAGTTTAAAGCAATGTAATTTTACATGATAAGCGGATATATTAATCTTAAGATGGGACTTTTATTTTGATATAGCTTTGTACAATCTTTGTATCAATTAACTAGAGTGACGCTCTCTAGTGGTTAAACAATATTAGAGATATCTATTTTTTTTTGTCTTCTGCAATAAAACTTTATGCAACTAGTACGAATATTGGGTGGTTTTGAAAGTGGAATGTGTTTGCTTAATTTTAAAAACTCAAGCTAGTAAATGACAATGCAGTTTTTCTCTTTTTTCTTTATTCTTTTCTTGAAATAATGAATGTGATGCATATCTATATATATATATATAAAGATGAAATGTGAGTTTGTTTGCTCCCTAACTCCTCCGAGCCTATTGGGCCAATCTCAACCAAAATTTGTATGTAAACACTATGAACTATATGGGGTGTCCAAAGGAGTGAAAATTAACCCTATTTCTATTTTGTAAAGCATGTTGGTTAATTACTCGCAGCCTATTGAGTCAATCTCAAACAATCTTGGCAGGTTGACGCTTTAGACACTGTTGAATATTTTAAATGGATTCAATGCCAAAGTATTAAAGTTGCTGGATTGTTTCTCAAACAACAATGCTTTTCCCATGATCAGTGAGATGTAGGGTGTTTAAGGGTTGGATCACCTCAAAATCTTTATTTGTTGGTAGATGGAAAGCAATCTGCAAATGTTGTTTATAAAGAAGCTTTGTTATAGTTTTAAAATTTTGAGATAAAGTTTATGTTCAAGTTATTACTTTGAAATATATAATTGTTGATAAACTTACATTGTTTAAATTAAGTTTAAACATTCCCCGCCAGTTGACGGGTATTTCAGCTTGTATTAAATATATCAGTAGTGAAGTGCTTCAAATGGAAAATAAAACAAAAATAAAACAAAAACAAAACTCAATTTTAATTCCTAAAACATATGTGTTACTTAAGTTTGTTGAATGTCCCATAGTGGGTAAACGGCAATGCGGACACCCAATTATTTTATAAAATTATTCTTTATTTTGACTTACCACATGTAATAAATTTATGATGGTTTCGAAAGTTAATATAGTATTTTAATAATTTTTATGAGTAAAACTCTGTTTACTTTGTAAGGTTTTCATCATTTAACGGTAGCTACAGGCCTTCCTTTTTTTTTCTCTCTGTTAAAAATATGTGCTATCTGATTATCACGTGTGACAATTTCAGGAAAAATTTGTGGTGGTATTTTTTAAATATCTATAGTCCTTTGTCATTATATAGTTGAAGCAAATTTGCATGAAACTTTCAGTTTTATTAAGAACTTCTCTAAATATCGCTGTAAACAGTAAAGATGGAATTAATAGTAAAATCGATATATTATCAATTAAGTGATGTAATAAAGATAAGTGTTATATTATTGATTTTGTGTTTCATAACTTTAAAATTTGTAAATATTGAATAGAACCGGTTAATAGCCATGGTCGTCACAACCGAAGCGGTAATAGCATGGGAGATGCGAAGAATTTTGAGACTGATGTTTTTGTTAGATATTTACGAATAAAAGTTTGTCAAACTTCAAAGAGCGAAATACATTAGCAATAGCAGTAAGACAGCGCTTAATGAAAAGATATTTAGACTAGGTAAAGATAACATTTGTCTGTTTTCACTTCAAACTTATAAAGTACAAATAAAATTAACAAGTATTAATAATGCGGTGTTAAATTTAAATTTTAAACTTTACTGTAGCGTGCTGAAAATTGAAATTGGCTTCAAACTTGTAACTTTTACTGTTGCAACTTGCAGTTGCAGACGACTGTAAAGAGTAAAGTCCAGGTAACTTGGGTAAGCCGGTAAGGTAACAGTAGACTATAATATAAAACCAATATTAATCTTCCTCTCTGAGTCTTTCTATTCTTTAGTATTGAGCCATTCTGCCATTTCATTTTCACACCACAAAACTCCTATTCAGTCAGTGAATTACTGTTAGTGTTACTAGCGGTGGTACAGTGATAGGATGGAGGTAACCATGAGATTTTATTTGATACTAAGCATGAGAGTGGGAAAAACAGCTGGTTATCTAAATGATGAAAGTGAAAGAAACAGAGTAGAGTAAAGAATCCGAGATAAAGTATTGAAAATTGGGATTTTAAGTAGCAGTCAATACAATATCACTAGTGGTAATACTAGCAGTAGTAAAATAGTAAGTAAAAGAGCTAGAGTGATAAGTATTGCCTATTGGTAAGGAAATATCCTGAAACAATTTCAACATAGCAAGAGCTTTGTTGGTAAGAGGGTAAAAACCAATTAATGGCAAAAAGAGAAGTAAGGGAAAACTAATATTATTGTTATAATATTCATAATTGTTTGTTTTTATTGCCAAGTTCTGTTACTGTGTTACAAGTTTTAGTAAAGGAAATCAGATCAAATTTATAGAGAATTTTTGTTAAAAAATATTCCTTATATGAAGGTAATTCAGCAGATTCTTTATTAAAGTTGGAAAGTAATTAAAGCATGTTTTCTTATTTCTTTGGTGTAAAATGTATTTTTCTTCATTATTACTTAATATAAAAGTAACAGATAATTATTATTTTTAGTATTCTAGAGTATGATTTTATAAATGTTACTATATTACTGTGAAAATAAAAATAACTTTGTTCTACAGAGTAAAGATTTCTGTAGCAAAGAACTGCTAAGTAACCTCAATACACAACAACAACAAGAAAAAAATGGCGGGTCGTGGGCGGGGCCGTGGGCGAGGAATGAACATTAATGTTGAAGCCTTAGGATTTGGAAGAGGAGAAGCATTACCTGCACCAACTTTGGAACCTCCACCTTTGTTTCCTGTAAGAAAAATGAATTTTCTTAAACATGATGCCACTTACAAGTTACATATAATATAAGGAACAGAACTATTGCCTTGAGCTGTAAGTGTTAAATTATCTTCAGCATGATAGAAATCAAATACATGACTTGTTGTAGGATTGTTATTTGTGTACTTGCATAAGTTGTTCATCAGTTACCTTTAATTTAAAAAAATAGTGGTATTGCAGCAACACTTGTGATTTCGTGCCATAATGGATAGGATTAGATAAGGGTTTGGAATTGAAGGTTGAAATGGTATGAACTAGAGAAATGTTTTGAAATTAAATTTCCAGTAAAGGTTTGTACAAAGTTAAAGAATTTTCACTATAGGATGTCTCAGCAAAACTTGTAACTAGACTTGGGCATGTCAAATAAAAAATATGTTTCGACTAGTTGGTTTTTGAGCTTATGTACTTAAAACTTGAGGTTTTTCTACCCATAATACTCTAGTGTAACAAAAAGAATAGTTGAAAATATAGCAGTCTTTAAAATTAGATAAGGCATATGGAAAAGCTGTCGGAAAAACCATGACTTTTGTGATAAACATCAAAAACAATAGCAAACAAAATGCCATTCTAAGAAAAGAAAAAACTTGTAAAATGTTTTCCCTCTAATTTCTTTCTGTGAATAACTTCAAAGATTAAGATTTTATAGAAAAATGAAACTATTGAAAATAACTAGAATATTAATGATACAAACACCTCACTTTGCCCAATTTGAGATGCCAGTTAGGACTGAATTTAGTAGATTGCTATAAAGGGTGATCCCAGAAGCCAGGCATCTGATATATCTGATCTTGCTACATACATGTAAAATGTATGAGGAAAGGTCAAGGAAAAGGTATAGGTAGGTAACATTGCAAATCAAGTTTCCACTTATAATTTTATTATGTATTTTGATATTTCACGCAGATCACTGAAAATATTGATAATTCCATGCTTAGTACCTGTATTAGCTTTGTTAATGAAACAACTTACACTCTGTTAAATCATGTTTATTTTCATTTTTGATTATTGCATGTTTTCGTGTTGGAGGGGAAAGTGAAATTTATTACTTTAAATTTTCAATAATTTGACATATTTTAGACACTTCTTCCGACAGAGCAAAATTTTATGATTTCACCAAAAATATTTAATCTATATGAAACAAATGTAAGTTTTTCTGTTACATTGGTGATGATGCTTGACTTGCACCCCCACTCTTCAGAATGGATAACAGCATTTGCCATGGTGTTGTCATGATTAATGCACATAAAGTAAAATCTTTTTGCCATGGATTTGATGTCTTAATTTCGAGGACTGTATAGCCAAGTATATAAATAACATGATGCAAAAGGTCATTCAGTTCATCAAGATAACCTCTCACCCACTAAAACAAGTAACTGAAATATCAAATTCAAGTTAAATGTAACTCTTTGCATCTAAACATATCAAAGAAACTTAAAAAATATTGACTAATGGCATATATATATATATACATGTTACATTTTTGAGTTTTTAACTAATCCAAAAATAATTTTGTCAATGAATAAGACTGTATTCAGGATTCCAAAGCTTAAAATTGTTACCACTTTTTAAATCCAAATAATGTTCAATACCAAAACCAAATGTATTTGAATTACTTTGCACTACTGTCACCAAAGTAAATAGGCCAGAACTTTAACCTTTTTCTTGTATCTTAAATCACTTCAACTAGGTGTCATTCTCTCAGGATATCATTATACTTTTTCTAATATTTTGTCCTCTCAAACCTGCATAAACTTCTTCAAATGTGTCTTCCTCAAAGTTTTTACAATAAGCTCAAGATTCTTGTTTATTCTTTTCCCCAAAACAAAATAGTTCAGTCAAGATCTTTGGTGCTTTTTAAAAAATGTAACATCTTTCTTTTTACCCAAATATAAATTCTCACACAAAAACTGGATCATTTCTTTACTTCCATACCCCAAGTACATAACTTTACAGTTTTTAATATTATAGTTGTTTTCCATACAATGGACCAATCACTAAGGCCGTCATTTTTTTAACAAGAGAAGTATTCCCAATAGGATCAGTTATTCTCGGGATCTTAATTTCATCAGCAAATTTGGGAGTATATTTATTACTCTCTAAAAAGCTGAAATAATGAAAACAAGTGGCCAAAAAATGGGCTCCACTATTTACATTCTCTTAATTAGAAAAAATCTTATTGCTGCAGTAAGTCAGTTTTTCTACCCACTTTTCAAATTTTACACCAAATCCATAAACATCCAACTTACCAATTAATCACTAGTGAGGTCTTAATAAAGTTTTTCTGAAATTCAGAATATACAACATCAAAAGTTCCATCATATATTATAGAAGCGCTATATAAAAAATTAAAATTTGATAGTACAAGAAATCCTTTTCTGAAATCATTGGAAATCTTTAATAATGCTTTTCTAAATGAGTTCTGACAACAGAAGTTCAACTTTGTAATCCTATAGTTTCCTGGATTCTCCATTTTTCTCTTTGAAATAAGAATCTTATTGGCACTACTTCAGTTATCATGAATACCCACTGTGTGAAGAGACTTCTAAAAACAATAGATAATTAAACCCCAGCTTATTCTTTATCTTTGTCTGTGGTTTTAGAATAACTCTTCAGGGTTAGGAGCTTTATTCTTTAGAACTCTTTCAAACTTTTATAAAGCAGATATTTCATTGTAAGTAGAATTTTACAAAATATTTTTCCCACTTTTAAAGAAATTGGTCAGCTTGGGAATTTCTTCTCCTTCATCATTTAAGTTATTTCAAAAACCTTTTTTATCACTTCAACCATGTTCTCTTTAAAATATTTTAAATGACCATATTATTAATGCTCTTTGGAGCTGATGTAAACATAAAACCCCTTGAAGTCACCTTTTTTGTTTTTAGCCAAAGTACTTTAATAATCTTTCTTAGCTTCAATAGTAACTTCTTGATTTCAGTATTTTAATAAATTGTGGCATTCTCTATTCTACTTCTGAATTTTATAATCTTGTAATTAGGCATTTTCTTTTAGCTTAATTCCCTAATCAATCTGCTCTTCTATCATTTGGGCTCATCTGCATTAGAAAACAAGAGACTGTGACCTCAGACATAACTATGTATTTTTCAGTCTAGAATTTTTGAAATATTGAATTCCTTTTTGGTTTCAATTACAAGACATAGTCACTGATCAGCTCTAATAGTGGTCAGACTAAATATTTCTGATTTATATTCACTTCAGAAATGCTACTCACCTCTGCACAGAACAGATAGCTAATACCTTGTACCACTGGTGAAAAGTTAGTTTGTGTTTGCCAATCCTTTGAATGTAGCTTCTATCCTTACAAGTAATAATGTGCAGTGCCAGTCTTTAATGTAGTCACTATTAGACTATACCCTTCCATCAGTATGTAGGAGGGTAACAAATCCTCCATGTACAGTACCTACCTTGAGCATTTTGTGCATACCAAAAAGTTATTCTTTTCCTTGGCACTGCAGTAGCAGTTGTGGGTTTTTTTCCATTATAAAGTACAGGTTTTAGCATTTTAGTTAACATTCAACATTGTACCTTTCTTACCTTTATTTTATTGATTATAAGAAAGAAAGACACGACTGTTTAAAATTAATTTCAGTAAGCTTCTAACATGAATTATGTTTTTCTTACATTAATTTAATTTCTTCTCTTAACTAAATTATGAAATGGTGGGACACATGTTCCAAAGTCCATAATGGGGTTTTGTTACAGGAATATACCCCATTGTCTTCAGCCCAGTGTATTCTTCAGTTTGTAAACATGAAAATGATCAAGGTCTAAGTGTCATGGATATGTCAAACCTGCTATAAAAAAATAATAAATACATAGATAAATAATAACAATAATATTACTACATTCTTGAATTTAGTTTTATGGGTCTTATTGAATATGATTCCTCATATCCATATATTTCTGAAACATCCCAAAGACCAGACTCCTCAATAGAAATTGTCTTATTTTCTTTAAATGATGACTAGAGTTACTCTGATGAGCAATGTTATCACCACTGTACATCACTTGGCTGGTTCTGTTTTGTTTCTCGGGTGATTTTTTTGCATGTTCCTCAACTCGTACATTTTTTTTTCCATCTTCCTCCTTCACCTATGTGTTGAATTATTGCAGATTCTTTCAGTCTATGCTTCATGTAGACTCAGTTTCCATGTCCTCCTCAAATTTAAGACTCCTTCTCTTTGGCCTGTAGTTGGTATTTTTTCTCTTTTATAGTGCTTCTATCCCTTGAATCACCTCTATCAGCTTGAGGATTTTCATTTCATACTTTGACTTTCTTTTACCCAGAAATCCACTCTTATTCAACCTTTGCTTACTCATCTTTTTAGCTTGCTGTCCTCTCTACTCTTTCCTTCTGAAGTTCTGCATCACTACCCTGGCAGCTTTACTGAAGAAGATCACACTGGCCTGTTCATGCTGCCCTGTTTTCTTATTCAACTGCTGCCAAGTTCACTTGCTGTCTTTCTTTCTTGGACTTGCATCATCAGTGTGCTTTGTTTTCTGGAGTAAGACTCCCTCACTTTTATCTTAGGGAACTCCATAAGACATCACTCATGCAGATTATTTTGGGGGAATTCCTTGTCCTGTGACCCCTTCCTAGTGTTCACCTTGTCAAGAGGACAGCCATTGTGAGCTCGGTGATCAGTTGTTTCTGGAACCACCACTCAGTTTTGCTCCTGTGGAGGCTTGGCTCTTACACTTTGTTTACTTGTGGACTCATTTTGCAAGAGACCATTGGGCCCTGCAAGTTTACTCTTGGGAGCTTTTTTTTTGGCCTTTCAAATTCACACCTGTCTTGTTTTCGTCAAAGGTCTGAGGGCATTAATACTGAGAACACACTTTTTGGGTCTGCATTTCCATCACTATATGGACACTTGGCAACTCCTAACTCTGTCATAAGAAGCACCATCTGCTACAATTTCTCTATTCCTTTGGAAGCCTGCTTATTTGGGTAGGCTGGTCAGTTTCTTAAGTCAGTATTGACTGCCATTTAGTATCTGATTCATTTGGGTGTCTTTATCACTTCATTTTCTGGCTGGGCTGAACCTTTTCCTTTACATTTATGAGATATAGAGTTTCTGATTTCCAAGGCTCTCGTGTCTTTTCTTTGGGATATTTCAATTATTTTGTGTCCTTTTCAGTGGATTCTGGCATATCAGTCGATTATACCCTGTAATCGACTGACTTCTCTTGTTTCTCTACCTTTATCTCTGTACCTCTCATTTTTGTGGTGGCTCAAACATTTCCATTCAATGCTAAACATTCATCTTTCTCCACCCTACTCAGACCTAAACCTATTCATGTGTGCCTCTCTAGCTGGGTGGAGTGCAGTTTTGGATACCTTTACCATTTTCAGTGTTTGTTCTCCTGTCAATCTGTTTTTCCATGTCAGTGTCTTTGAGATGTGGGCAGCTTGATGGACTTGCCACCATCTTTTGTTTTGATCTGTTTCAGCAGCTATACTGTCATTTTTTCTTACATCAACTGGCAAGTAGGTACTCACTCTTGCAACCTCTCTTTCTTGTTCTCGAGCTCCACTTTTGGGCTCATGACAACAACATCCAGTTATTGGACTTTCAGATTCTGGGAACTTTGAAAATGTTGCAGATCAGCTGGCTCACCTGAATTGAATCTTTCCAACAGAGTGGTCCTTTCATCTCCCATAGTTTTAGTTTCACTTTGTGAGTCTTCTTATCAATGTGTTTGTGACTCATCTCTACACCAAGTTTCCGCTTTTTTGGTCACCAGTCTCACATTCCATAACCCTGGTAGAATTTCTCTTTGAGTCTGAATTGATCCACCCTCTTTATATATACTTATCCTCCTTTTCATCTTCTTCTCAGGGTGCTGTCTGAATTTCACAGCACCCCTTCCCAGGTTTTTGTCATTGCCCATCTTTCACCAGTTCAATTGTGATTTCCACTTCTTTGCCTCTTTGTGATCCTGGAGACTCTATATCTTCCATTTTATGTTTGCCTGATATGTCCATCTTTCAGTATGATATTCCACACCCTCCTCTCTCATGTGGTTTTTGACTAGCCTCTTGCAATACATTGAGTAGGGGATAACAGAAAGTGCCTACTGTTGAGATTGGTTTTTTTTTGGCAGTTTTTACATTTTGCCTTGCCTACCCTCACACTTAGCTTCTGTTGCCCATATGTAACCCATTATGTAGTCTA